GTATTTGTGTGTGAGTATCTGTGTGTCTGTATGTTTGAATTCTAATAACGCGTGTTTCCACCGCGTTGTTGAATTATCCCTTGCAGTCGATTACTCATGTTAATGCAAGCCCTAATTTCTTCCTGTGGAATGTCATTCCAAATTTCAGTTAAGACTTGCGATAGATCTTACAGATTGGTAGGTTGTCTTGTTAAATTTCTATAGGGTTCAAATTTGGACTTACTGCAGAATATGGAAGCAATCAAATTGAATTGGGACTGCAAAATTCGAGAATGATTCTCAACGAGGCTTCTCGACGATAATTCATACACACACACAGATTCTCACACACAAATACACACAGAAAAGGCTCCTGTCAGAGCCATATAATGTGCAAAATCTGTCCAGCAACCTCTCCGACCTGCACATCGGGTAATGCTAATGGCGGCGGTATATACCATAAATGCAAGGGTTTCTTTAAAGTTCTGTATCCTTGCAGAAAAAAATGGTAGCGGTTTTTCACATACTGGAAATTAAAGATAAAGGTTTGTACTTTATGCTGCTGTAAACAGTATCGCCCCAAAAAAATGTGGCAAGTCCATGCATTTCGTCAAACTTTGTAATTTTCAATATTGCAAACATGACCTCACATTTACGGTGTTATTGTGGTAAGGATGCATCAAATCTAAAATCAAACTACAGGGTCTTAAAGTAGAGATCTCAAGCTTTAATTTAAAAAAAAGGAGCATAACTTTGCGATGATTTTTCACGGAGTTATCATCAGTCGAATTTGGCCAATTTTTGCCTAAAATTTTTCTATGCCATATTTCTTTTGAGCAGTGTATAATGATTAATGTTTTGATGAAGTATCATGTTTTTGATTAATAAAAAACCAATAAAACGAAAAATAATCAACGTTTCGTTGAAGCAGGATTTTTGTCCCGCTAGATTGGCCAAATGACACACTGTGAGTCGTTTTCATTGCGCTCCTCGTTAGAAATTGTCGCTTAGAATTCATTTATTACAAATTTTTTGAATATTATTAAGCTATACCTTTTGAGTTGATTTAAATATTACATTGAAATTGGATTTGCATTTTCGTTCTGTATTTATTATAAATAATTCAATTTTAGTTTCGCAATAAATATTAATTAATCCCTTACATTTGTGGTTTGTTTTTTTGTTATTTACATCCTTAACATACTTCGATACTACAAAATATAGTTGTTCCACTTGCGATATTCTGAGTATATCTAACTGTTAATGGTGACGATAATGTAATGTCTATTTACATGTGTTACGCCGTCGCGTGAACTTCCAATCAGCTTCATAAATTGAATTACTACGACGTGAAGGTAGCTTAAGGATTATCAGATGGCACAATATGTATTACGAGGGGAAATTCAAATGAGCCAAGGTATACGTCACCAATTAAATGCCATTATTAAAAATATTCGACGTGGGTGTTTCAGCAGAGGGAAAACTGACATTCAAAGAGGTCATATACACTTGGAAAGTTCCAAAATTAATTTAACGGACCGATTCCAATTAGTGCGTCTTTCAAAAGTCACGTATGTCCTTCAAGAATATATACGCGCCTAGTAGTTCTTTCAAGTTCTCGCAGTTCATCAATTTTATCAAAGATGGACTTTATTAGTCATCGAGTTAGTGTATGAACACAACAATTTGTGAACTATTGTTCTTAAAATTAAGTTTTTTAAAACGAAAATCACTGCCAATTTTCAAGATTCGAATATTTTTAATCGTAACATAGCGTTGACGAACGTGCGCCAACACAAGGAAAGAAAAATTATGTAAAGAAAATAAATCGTATACGAATATATGAAAAATATATATTTATACGAATGTATAAAATATAAACAATAATAAAGAATTGCAAAACCTCGGAAACTGAATTTAAGATACGAGCGTAAAGTCGTAAGAATTATTAAGGAAAAAGCAGATAATAGTGCATCAGAAATTGCATTACATCTGCAAAAATACATGCACAAAGAATTCATCCGAAAACAGTACGAAGAGCGCTAAATAGGGAAGGATACAACAGCGGAACTGCAAGAAATAAACCATTTATCAACAAAGTGAATAGAAAAGAACGATTGAAATTTGCAAAGGAATAAACAAATGTTGCCAACAACTGTTGAAAGTCAAGTTTTTTCGAAACAGATACAGTTGAAGACCAATCTCTCATTGGAAAGTCAAAACTAGTAACAAATAATAATACGAATCTAAATGTTCTGCAATTGTTTTAAGGAAATCTCCGCGATATTACTTAAGACACTACTTTAATTTTGCCTTCCCTTCTAAAAAAAGATATATATATATTTAGTCAAGAGAGATGTATTAATGTTAATGAAAACAGGCACAGTTTCAATTAATATCATTATGAAAAGATGAAGTTATTAGGGGAAGTTATTAAAATCTTAACAAAAGATTAATCATTGAATCAATACACAAATGAATTATTGGAAGCTGAATTAAAATGAATGTAGAGAATCATAAGTTTTCTTAATTTAGAAAATGTCACTGTTGAACCTATTAAATACGTGACAGGTTTTTAAGAATACTACTTCGTTAGTGGAACCCGTGACCGGCTTTAAGAAAGAATTGTTTAATTGAATGCAGAAAAGAATGAATGTGAAATGAAGCAACTTCAGAAACTAGTTATGAAACCTGCATGTGACTAGCGACCTTAATTACTGTAATTTACTGGCCCTTTTTCGTGGAGTTAGAAGTGAAAATTACCTTAATAATTAATTTTGAAGGGTCCCTAAGGTGGAGGGCGGCCGGGGAAAGCGGTCCTCCACGTTCCGATACGCACACCCACGAACGATTTCTTTAACCCATTCGCTCCAAACGACGGATATATCCGTCATCCATAAAGATACAGCACTTTAACCCTTTCGCTCCGAACGACGGATATATTCGTCATCCACATGAAAACTCGCGGAGCCGAACGCCGGATATATCCGACATTCATATGATCGCTCTCTACTCTATATTATATATTATTTCCTCACTTTTTTCTTACGCGTTTATATCTTACGTAAATATTATAAGTATGTATATTGTTTTAAAGAAAAATCCCTTTTCTTCCAACATACACTATCCACGCGCAATGTGCACGGGCGGGAGGTCCCGTTCAGGAGTGGCGCTACGGCGGACTAAACCGCCGCATAGTGGGGTATTTACACCTAAAAGCCGGACAGAGCTAATTTAAAATTCGCGAAATTTTCAAATTCTCATAACTTTGCCGGTAATAATCCGAAATTGATGAAACAACAATGATTGTAAAGTGTAACGTCCTTGCGACTAGACTCAGGTATTTACAGCGCTTATGAAGCAAAGAGCGGCTTTTGCCTATTAAGCGACTCGTTTTTACTATAACTAATTCTAAAAGAATGTGGGGTCGTGGTGGCATGTGGTTAAAGAGTGAAATCTACAGGTTAATACCTTTCATTAATTGGGTTTATTCAATTAATGACGAGAAAGAGAGTTATAATTAACGTTTTCTTTAGAGAATATAAAAATGTACGTATGACTGAATTCTATAAGCAAATTGGAGTATAATAGACTTATTGTTGTCACAAATCGCAGAACGGTAGCTAACTACTTCAATTACGCGGTTTTATAATGATATACGCAACGCAAGAATATAACGCAATTTTATAATGGATTTAGATCCTAACAAAACTGTCAGAACAATATCTAGTTAACTACAAAAACTCTAAAATTTGTATTAGACGTGGAACAGTTACTCCTTGTTTGGCTCTAAACTAATTAGTTCATGGCCCTTTTTGTCAGAGCACAAATCGACAC